AAATCAGGAAAAAGGAAAAAGTGCATAGTAAAATCATGTCCTTCCTTATTTCTCATTAAAATCAACTACAATAATGCTGATGTTTTCATGACTATTCCGTCCTATAGAAATTCAAGTACATAGTGTTGTTGTTGATTCCTTTATCGAAAAAAATTTGTATCTCCTTGAGGACACACTCTAGCCACCCGACACGCCATTTCACTTGATAAAATATCCCACAAGCCATCACTCACAAGAATCAAGCACTCATCATCTACATTATTTTTTACAAAGCTAATATCAGTCTTAGATGTCACATAGGGCTTCAAATAATTGTATCTCGTTTGTAACGACTAGCTGAATGTCAATAACATTTAGTAGTTGAATTCATATAACTACTAGTAAATATTTATGGTATTTTTTCTTGTTACAAAGAAGAAACAATTATTCAAAGCCCTATGTCATATCTAAGCCTGAGTTTACCTTTGTAAAAAGGAATGTAGATGATGAGTGCTTGATTCTTGCGAGTGATGGCTTGTGGGATATTTTATCAAGTGAAATGGCGTGTCGGGTGGCTAGAGTGTGTCTTCAAGGAAATGCAATATATTTTTGCAAAGTTAATCGTAAGCATCGCTACTGATGTTATCATGACTATCTTGTCCCATAGCAGTTCGAGTACGTAACGTTGTTGTTGATTCACTTTGCGGAAAAAATATTGCATCTCTATGAAGACACACTCTAACAACCCGACACGTCGTTTCACTTGATACAACATCCCACAGGCCATCACTCGCAAAAATCAAGCACTCATCATCTACATTACTTTTTTACAAACGTAATCTCAGGCTTAGATATGACATAGGGCTTCAAATAATTGTATCATGTTAGTAATAAGTAGTTGATTCTCTATAACATTTAGTTACTAGTGGTTGAATCTATATAACATTTTGTTACCAGTAGTTGAATCTCTATAACTACAAGTAAATATTTTTGTTATTTTTTCCTGTTACAAAGAGGAAACATTTATTTGAAGCTCTATGTCATATCTAAGCCTAAGATTACCTTTGTAAAAAGTAATGTAGATTGTGAGTGCTAGATTCTTGCGAGTGATGGATTGTGGGAGGTTGTATCAAGCGAAACGGCGTGTCGGGTGGCTAGAGTGTGTCTTCAAGGAGAAGCAATAGTTTTTCGCAAAGTGAATCACTAGCATCGCTAATTACTTAGGTTTCTATGGGACGGAATAGTCATGATAACGTCAGCGTTATTATTGTTGATTTGACGATAAATCATGAAGGATGAGAAAGTCCATAGTAAAAATATCTCCTTCCCGATTTCTCATCAAATCAACTACAATAATGTTGATGTTATCATGACTATTCCGTCCCATAGCAATTCGACTACGTAGTGTTGTTGTTGATCCACTTTGCGAAAAAAATATTGCATCTCCTTGATGACACAGTCTAGCCACCTGACACGTTGTTTCGCTTGAAACAAAATCCCACAAGCCATCACTCGCAAGAATTAAGAACTTATCATCTACTTTTTTTTACAAAGGTAATCTCAGGCTTAGATATGACACAGGGCTTCAAATAAGTGTATCCTATTTGTAACAAGTAGTTGAATCACTATAACATTTAGTTACTAGTAATTAAATCTCTATAAAATTTAGTTACTAGTAATTGAATCTCTATAACTACTAGTAAATATTTATATTATTTTTTGTTGTGGAAAACAAGAAACAATTATTTGAATCCCTATGTCATATCTAAGCCTGAGATTACCATTGTAAAAAGGAATGCAGATGATGGGTACTTGATTCTTGCGAGTGGTGACTTATGGGATGTGGTATCAAGTGAAACAGCGTGTCTAGTGGCTAGAGAGTGTCTTGAAGGAGATGCAATATTTTATTCCAAAGTGAATCAGAAGTATCGCTACTTACTCAGGTTGCTATGTGACGGAATAGTCATGATAACATCAGCGTTATTGTAGTTGATTTGACGAGAAATCAGGAAGGAGGAGAAATTCCATAGTAAAAACATCTCATTTTTTATTTCTCATCTAATCAACTACAATAATGCTGATATTATCATTACTATTCCTTCCCATAACAATTCGAGCACGTAACGTTGTTGCTGATTCACTTTGCGGGAAAATATATTGCATCTTCTTGAAGACACACTCTAACCACCCGACACGTCGTTTCACTTGATACAACATCCCACAAGCCATCACTCGCAAAAATCAAGCACTCATTATCTACCTTGCACTTTCAAAGGCAATTTCATGCTTAGATATGACATAGGGCATAAATAATTTTTTCTCTCCTTAGGCACATTCCACAGGTCCTTTCAGTTGAGGATAATGCATCTCTCGGCATTATGCCGACAAAGGAAGAGGTAAAAATATTTTATTTAAGCTTAGTGGGGGATAGTGCAAGTGGACATGATGGTTTCACATGTCTTTTTTATCAGAATTGTTGGGACATAGTGGGTGATGACTTATGAAAGTTTGTTACTACTTTCTTTGAAGGAAGAACACTTCCCAAATTCATAATACATACCAACCTTGTGTTGTTACCTAAAAAGAATGACATTCAATCCTTTTCAGATCTGAGACCTAGCAATTTCAGTAACTTTGTTAATAAGGTTATTTCTAGGGCAATGCAAGGAAAATTGGAGATGGTGCTTCTAAGGCTAATCTAATCCAATCAATCAGGTTTTGTAAAAGGAAGGAACATTATTGAAAATGTTTTACTCACAAAATAGATTGATTCAGATATCACTAAAAGGAGAAAACCAGCTAATATCATTATCAAAAGCTTATGATAGGGTTTCTTGGTTCTATTTGATGAAAGTCCTAAGAAAAATAGGATTTTCAGAGGTGATTATTGATATCATTTGTAGAATCATAGCTAATAATTGGTATTTTATGTTGGTGAATGGATAGGCACAAGGCTTTTTTCACTCTACTAGAGGGGTAAAACGGGGAGACCCCTTATCTCCTACTTTGTTTATTATTAGTGCTGAAGTTCTGTCAAGGGCTTTGAATTCTTTATTTGATGATGGAAACTATATGGGATATGGTATGCCTAAACGGAGTGCAAATCTTAATCATCTTGCTTATGCAGATGACACAACTATTTTTGCAGATACACATGAAAAGTCCCTTAAAATAATAATGAAGGTGCTAGGCAAATATGAGTCTCAATCTGGACAATTAATCAACAAAGGAAAGAGTGCTTTGTACATGCATCGGAACACCAACGCTCAATTAGGAGGTTTGGTTGATAGATGTACATGTATCTCAAGAGGTCAATTCCCAATTACTTAACTAGGGTGTCCTATCACTCATGCTAAGAAGAGAAAGAGTGGTTATAATGATCTAATTAAGAAGGATGAAGTCAAGCTTCAAACATGAAAGGGAAGATGCTCTCTTTTGGTGGTAAGGTAACTTTGATAAGTAGTGTGCTACAAAGTATTCCTATCCACATTCTTTCAGTAATTGTTCCCCCAAAATGTGTAATCAATGAACCACATAATATTTTTGCGAAGTTTTTTTTTTGGAACAATAAAGAGATAGGGAGAAGTAAGAATTGGGTTGCTTGGTAAAATATTTGCTTACCCAGAGCAGAAGGGGGTCTTGGTTTTAGATCTTTATTTGATATTTCCAAAGCTATGTTTGCAAAGCTATGGTGAAAATTTAGAAGTGGTAATTCTTTATGGGCAAACTTTATGTGGAATATATATTACAAAAATGAAATTTCAACTTTGGTGTAAGGGAAAGGTGGCTCTCAGATGTGGAAGATGATGCTAGAAAATAGAGAAAAAATGGAGAACAATATGTGGTGGGGAAGATGATGCTAGAAAATAGAGAGAAAAAAATGGAGAACAATATGTGGTGGGAACCTAGAGAGGCTCTACATATATTTGGTATGAAAATTGGATGAAACTTGATCCTTTAATTCTGGAGCCAGATTGTATCATTAGACCTGAAATGAAGGATATGAGGGAGATGATGAATGAATAAAGATGGGATTCAGGAAAACTCCAACAAGCACTGCCAGAAAGAATTATCAATCATATCTAAGAACATTTGAGAAATTTTAAGAAGAAGATCCCCAATACAAGTATATTTGGGTGCAGAGATTGCCCTTTAAGTTTTGTTTCCTAGTTTGGAGAATCTGGTGTAATAAAATTCTTGTGGCTACTTTAATTGCTAAATGAAACAGCAATGTAAGTACAGATTGCTTGTGTTGTATAGTACCTTCCCCTGAACCGTACAACACTTTTTCTTAACAGGTGAAATAGAAAGAGAGGTTTGGACTTATTTTGCAAATGTTGTTGGTGTACATGGTCCTTGGATTCAAATTAAACAAACAATACCGAAGTGGAGAAATGCTCCTGGCAATGAGAAGTTTAAGATATTAAGAATGTAGTCCCTATAATTATTTTATTGTCTCTATGAAAAAGAAGAAATATCATTTTACATGGAGGTTTTTATCCAGTTGAGAAGATTATCCATCGGATAAATGAGAATATTCATAAATTCACCATTTTCAAATTTCCTTTCTTTTTAAACCTACCAATGAATCAGCCCTCAATTGCAGAGGTTCTAGAAAGTTGGGAACAAAGGTGCAGACTCAAGATTGTGAGCTGGATACACCCTCTTGATAGATGGTATAAATGCAACGTTGATGATGCTTCAAAGGGTAATCCTGACCGTAATTCAGTTGCCTTTTGTGTAATAAATTATTTTGGAGATATTGTAGTGGTCAAAGGGTTAAGACTTCTAGTTTCTACCAATCTCTTTGTTTTGGAGATATTGTAGAATAGACCGTAATTCTGCGAAGTATTTGAAATTTTTTCGAGGTATTCAAGTTTATTCAAGATCAACTAATTCTACTTCAATCAATCTTTTTAAACGAGAGGATTTATACAAGTTGATGAAGAGAAACAGATTGTTCTACTTCAATAGAGTTATGTATTCAAGATATTAAAGTTCAAGGAAGGAAGTTTACCTCATCAACTCATCTCCCTTAGTTTCCAAAGTAGGAACTTGAAGCTCTCTAGATCTGACTAATTTAGCTCAGGACGAGTTGAAGGTTAGAGTTTCATTAATTGGAGAAGAGCTGGTATCAATTGAAGAAATGCAATATTGAGGAGCCTATTCTCCGGTGATTGGTGCTCGGAACTCATCCATGGCGGAGGAATCGATGTGGAGAGAAGTCGACTCTCCATTTCCCTCTTTGTTTCCTACTTCAATAGAGCTACTTCAATAGATTGTTCTACTTTAACAGAGCTATGTATTCGAGATATTAAAGTTCAAGGAAGGAAGTTTACCTCATCAACTCGTCTCTCTTAGTTTCCTAAGTCGGAACTTGAAGCTCTCCAAATCTGACTAATTTAGCTCAGGACGAGTTGAAGGTTAGAGTTTCTTTGGAGAAGAGCTGGTAGCAATTGAAGAAATGCAATATTGAGGAGTTGATTCTCCGACGGCTGGTGCTCAGAACTCATCCATGGCGGAGGAATCGATAAGGAAAGAAGTCGACTCTCCATTTTCCTCCTTGTTTCCTACTTCAATAGATCTACTTCAACAGATTGTTCTACTTCAATAGAGCTATGTATTCGAGATATTAAAGTTAAAGGAAGGAAGTTTACCTCATCAACTCGTCTCCCTTATTTTCCTAAGTCAGAACTTGAAGCTCTCCAGATCTGACTTATTTAGCTAAGGATGAGTTCAAGGTTAGAGTTTCTTTTGAGAAGAGTTGGAAGCTAGCAATTGAAGAAATGCAATATTGAGGAGCCGATTCTCTGGCGGCTAGTGCTCAAAACTCATCCATGGCGGAGGAATCGATGTGGAGAGCAGTCGACTCTCCATTTCCCTCTTTGTTTCCTACTTCAATAGAGCTACTTCAATAGATTGTTCTACTTCAATAGAGCTATGTATTCGAGATATTAAAGTTCAAAGAAGTAAGTTTACCTCATCAACTCATCTCCCTTAGTTTTCAAAGTCGGAACTTGAAGCTGTCCAGATCTGACTGATTTAGCTCAGGACAAGTTGAAGGTTATAGTTTCTTTGGAGAAGAGCTGGTAGAAATTGAAGAAATGCAATATTGAGGAGCCGATTCTCCGGCGGCTGGTGCTCAGAACTCATCCATGGCGGAGGAATCGATGTGGAGAGAAGCCGACTCTTCATTTCCATCTTTGTTTCCTACTTTAATATTGTCTTATCCTTTCAGCCTTTTGTTTATTTTGCTTTGGTTTTGTATAGAATTGTACATATTCCGTTGATTTTAATAAAGATGCTTATTGGCCTCAATTTTTAAGTTAAAATAAAAATGAAATGGCATGTCACATTTAGGGGTGTTAAAAATGAGCCCACATTTAGGGGTGACTCACATTGTTCCTGTTTTATTAATAATATTTTTTTAATTCTTTAAATTGAAGCTTGTTTAATGTCTCTATAGGAAACTTCTTTTACATATTCAATTGAAGCATGTATCCATTCTCTATGAAGATCTAGTTACTTCAATTTTCTAGCGGAAATCTTTATCTTGGGTTCCATTCACGAGTATTTGCCGGTATATCCATACAAAAATTAAGTCTTGCTATCGAGGAAAAAAATCTGATAAGGAAGATAAAAAAAATTAGTAAAAAAATTTCATCATTGTGTTACCAAGATATATATAGACAAACAAATTTGATCTTCAAGATAATTATTTTTTGCATTAACGCTTCAAAAAGGCGTATCATAATTGGCTGCAATTTACAATACCGAAACTTATGACATATGGGGATTTTCTCAAGATTGTCAAGTTCGGATTCAATTTGTGTACAGAGAAGTTAATTCTTTGGCTGATTATTTAGCTAATCTAGCTTTTAATAATCCACTTGTTTATAATTCTTTTATAGAATTACCAAGACAAGCTAGGCAAATCGTTAACCTAGACAAGCAACAAATTCCTACTTTATGAATCAGAACAAAGAAAATAGATCAAGAAAGGGAAGGGGGACAAGAAAATGCGGTGACATTCATCACATCATATTATTATATTTATATTTCTATTTATTTATATTTATATTTATATTTATATTTATATTTATATTTATATTTATATTTATATTTATATTTATATTTATATTTATATTTATATTTATATTTATATTTATATTTATATTTATATTTATATTTATATTTATATTTATATTTATATTTATATTTATATTTATATTTATATTTATATTTATATTTATATTTATATTTATATTTATATTTATATTTATATTTATATTTATATTTATATTTATATTTATATTTATATTTATATTTATATTTATATTTATATTTATATTTATATTTATATTTATATTTATATTTATATTTATATTTATATTTATATTTATATTTATATTTATATTTATATTTATATTTATATTTATATTTATATTTATATTTATATTTATATTTATATTTATATTTATATTTATATTTATATTTATATTTATATTTATATTTATATTTATATTTATATTTATATTTATATTTATATTTATATTTATATTTATATTTATATTTATATTTATATTTATATTTATATTTATATTTATATTTATATTTATATTTATATTTATATTTATATTTATATTTATATTTATATTTATATTTATATTTATATTTATATTTATATTTATATTTATATTTATATTTATATTTATATTTATATTTATATTTATATTTATATTTATATTTATATTTATATTTATATTTATATTTATATTTATATTTATATTTATATTTATATTTATATTTATATTTATATTTATATTTATATTTATATTTATATTTATATTTATATTTATATTTATATTTATATTTATATTTATATTTATATTTATATTTATATTTATATTTATATTTATATTTATATTTATATTTATATTTATATTTATATTTATATTTATATTTATATTTATATTTATATTTATATTTATATTTATATTTATATTTATATTTATATTTATCATATATTATTAAATCATCATATCATATATCATCATAGCATATATCATCTATCTATATCTATATCTATCTATATTACTTTAAAAGCATGAACTCCTAACTTGAATGTTAAATTACTATAATATCCCTAACTTAGATTGTAACTTTTTCGATGAGTTGTGACTTTTTCGATAAGTTGTGACTTTTTTCGAAGGGTTGTGATTTTTCGATGAGCTGTGACTTTCAAAGAGTTGTGACTTTTTTAATAAGTTGTGACTTTTCCAAAGAGTTGTGACGTTTTCAATAAGTTGTGACTTTTCAGATAAGACACAAAAAATATTTGTTCATACTATCCTTTGTTCACTATAAATAGAGGGGCTTCCTCTCATTTTTCAACCACAATTTTTTTAATCGTCTACTCTTCTTCTTCTAGCATTAAAAAATTTTTGTATGATTTATTGTCATTGAGTGAGTTCAAAGTTTAGCGGAATATGAGGTACCACTATCCTGATGGAGTAGGTCGTTCTATCCTAAGTGGGTACATTCCATAACCTCGAATACTTGACAAAAATAAGTTTGATGATATAATAATTATATTTTTGCTTAATATATACATTAGTATGTAATGTTCCAATATATGAAGTTAACATGATGTAGTCTAAATTCATTTGTTTTTTTGTTAACAATTCCTCTTCTCATGTAGATGTATGCATCTGAATATCTTTTCCAAAATTTAGAGAATTGGCACAATTTGTTTTTGATGCTCAAGACAAAAGAATGACTTTATTTATCAATACTACTTATGTGATTTAGACTCTCATGAAGTTTGCTTCAAAATAGTAATTACTATATAAACATTGCCCTTTTGTTTTACTTATTTACTATTTCTTAATACTTCAGTATTTTAGACGAAGAAAAGTTCATATGACTTATAATAACCCCAGTTGAAGTTTGTATTATTTTAATTTTTATTATTTATTTAATAGTTAATTTTATGAGATAAATATTTTCATTAATGCAAATATATATTTATATTTGGGTAGGGATTTCTATCTAAATTAAAGTATTATAAATGTCACAAATGTATTATCAAGTTAACAAGATCTTCTAACTTCAAAATATATTATTTTGAAATGTTTTAAAAAAAACGCACAACCAATGTGAAAATATGTGAATATATAAAATGTAGTTGTTCTCTTCACATGTTCATATGATATCTAAACAATTTAACGTAGAATACACATGCAAAGCACATCTGGTTAGATGACAAGAAAAATACAAAGCAAATATTGTCTGTAAAGTAATATTAGTGAGATAAGACTAATTATATGATAAACCTCATCAAATTGAAATAAATATATACATTATTGCATTTAACTAATAAAAATTTTCATTGACTATCTTCATAGATTTGTGTGAATAAGAAATATATATGACGATCCACGTTGAACATTCACAAAAGAATCTGCAATATTATTTTTTGTTAAGCTACTTCATCAAAAATATAATATTTTTTGTTAAGCTTATTATTCAAATTTTCGCTTAAATAAGCAATACTATTTACTATAACATATATTTTTTGGAATTGGTAATCACGTGCAACACACGTGACAAAAAAACTAGTATATATTACTAAAAGTGGGAACAAAAAAAGTTGAAAGTTGAAATACCATTTTGCCCCTACACTAGATTAAAATATTGTAAATATTTAATTAATTACATATGTTTGAATATTAGTGATCATCAATTATTACATTGAGTAAATGGATAGTTCATGTGTTCAAAGGAGGATTATTTACTCTTTCAGATTTTAATGGCGGTTCATTGCATATATTTAATATTCTTAAAGCTGTTCTCTTTTATCTATTTTGGCCCTTTGAAACCTTCAAATAGTATTTAATTTAAAATTTTAAGATGTCTTTTGGTATTCCTCTATTTTTATCTATATAAATTCATTTTTTTTGTTTCATGAAACTCACATCCAAAATTATCCTTTTCATTTTATAGTTAAAGTAGTGAAGTCATCAACATCTAAAGTATATGATATATCTACCTTTGCCTAATTATATATCACTTTACGAAAATAAAATGATTTTTCTATTTGATTCATGCTTTAGTTTGACTCGATGGAGAAGACTTTTCAATTTTGAATGGATATGAGAGAAGGTGTCGACAAAGATTTGGAAAATTATGTACCCATTTTGTATTTCTTTTTTCATTTATATAATGTTATGATTAAAGTCTTAAGAAGGATGCGTATGTTATTTTTTTCTTCTATGTTAATTTTTTTTATATTTCTCTGTTAGTCTTCTTTAATTTAATTTTCTATAAATTATTATCATAACATTTATTTGAGATTGTTGCATTTTAGTACTCATTACACGCATATTTTCATTGAATTTTAATCGTACTAACGAATTTATAACATATTGCATGAGACACACATGCGTTGCACGTGTCCAAAAACTAGTATTATTAAAAGTGGGAATCTCACATCTTCAAAGTTGGATGACCATTTTGCCCTTACAACAAATTAAAATGTAATTAAATTTTTAATTAAATAATATTATTGAACTACATTTTTTTCCAATTAATTTGAAAGTTGAAAAGACTGTATGACTTAATTAGGAAATTTGAAGGGGTGCATGAAAAATGAAAAGACTATTATCAGTTATGTGTGAAATTTTGAAGGGTTACATCACAATTAATAGGCTTATATCCTCCATTGTATGAAATTCAAATGGATACATCAGAACCATGATAAACATACACTCATAGTTAATTGAGAAAATGGCACTTGTAATAAGGAGATATTATTTAGCTAGAGGAATTGAAAAGAAACTGTTGCGATCTCAAAAGCTACTAAGTGGGAGGAGGAAGAATCCAATGTAGATAACTTGACTGTGGCACCAAGGAGGGGTAAGCATATGAGAATTGTGCAATAATGTTGATGTTTTGTACAATATTTGTAACTATAAATTAAGATTTTTCTCTCTAACATTTTTTGACATTTATTTCTATCAAATTTGTAAGTAAATTATACTGTAATTATTAGCAAAATTAAAATGATTTTTTTTGAGTCGTTATGAGTTATATATTTTTTTTTTGTTTAAGTTTTTTTAGCTTATATATGCAAATTATTTTAAAATTTGTACGAAACAAATATAGTTTAATGGACTTATAAAAATAGAAATATGTTTGAATAAACAATAGAGTAAAGTAGTTGATATATGGCGTATGTTCATTTTTCT